ATCCATTATGGTGTAGTTGCTGCCATCTTCATTTCCACTGCACACTTCTGAGTTGCAAGGTAACTGGGAGTGCTCCACAAACAGGCTCTGCCTTTTCATGTAGGTGAACCCATAAACAGAAATATGGTCCTCAAGGTAGCTCTCCCCTTCAACACTATAGGCTTTGTATCTCCCCAAGTTCCCACACATGACTCTGCATCTCCTTACCTTTCCTCCCTAGCTATATCAAGCTGACATGCCAATGGTAGTACAATGTTCTCTCCCTGAAGGCGAGGTGTTGCTGACTGCCAACACCCTTCCCACGGGATACCTGTCCCTCCCATGCTGGACTGTACTCCCTCCTTACATATTGAGTTGCCCCCTTTAAGTATCATCCCCCTCACCACCCCCAAATTCCAGCTTTCCGACTCCAATTACCATAATTAGGTTCCCCAGCCACCTTTCCATAGCACTGGTCCTGATAACCGCTTCACCCCTTGATTTTTAATTAACAGGCTGTCCAGACTGACCATGGCCTACCCTTTTAGCGACTCAGCTGACAAGTGTAAGCCATGAGGACCATACCCCTGACTATGTTGCTACTGACAGTTGCCTCCCTGGACTTCAGTGTGGACTACAACCCTTGGACTTTGAGACACAGCCACTTGCTTGCATCACATGTAGTGTGTTGGCTATGTACGCTGCTGGAACATGGTGCAGGTGTGAGATGGACATACCAATGAACTGTACAGCAACATGCCTACCCCCTTGACCGATGATTGCTGAGCAACATGGCAAGTTATCTGGCTTCATGTCTGCACTAGAAGGCAAGGCTCGGCAAGGCTCTGCAGCAGTTCTGTCTGAGGGAGCAAAGCATGAAAGCACAAGGCAAGGATTCAAAGGTGGGAGCAAAATGAATGAACACTATGAGAGCAAGCCAGTAGCCCAGAGATGCAGTCTGGTCCAATCCATGAGCTGTATGCCTGTCCCTGATGCAAAATATATTTGCAACAATGTTGTTATGAAAATTGTTGGTGCACCTCAGAGTGCAATATTTCAGTGCAAAAACATACAGAATATGGACTCGAGATGTCCAATGGTGGTGTGGTGAAGTTCATACTTCTTAGAAGCCAGTGTATACGAATGTTGGGCACAGACAACTGCTGCTCATGAAGCAAAAGCTGAAATGTTAGTGCCCAGTTTCCAAGGTGGCGGTGTAGAGGAGTAGGTCATGTGGCTCTCTGAGCAGACTGTCAAAGTCATTTGGCAGAGTGCCTCATCAGAAGAACTTTCCAACAAGCACCAAGACATCGCTTGGCTGGTTGTGAGAAGATCTCACTACCTGTGAGATCCTTCTTGTATGTCCTGTCCATCTGTGTCATCGCACACTGCTCTCAAAGCAGGTGTGGTGGGTGGGTGTTGGTAAAAGTCTGTCACACATCTCCTGCTGGAATGTGCCTTTGCAATGGAAGTCTGGAGAAAGATGCAGTTGTTTTTAATCAAGGTTTGGCCCTAGCAGGTCCATGACGAGGACTCCCTGCTCTACTAGCTGTTCCTGGCACACACACACAGACAAATATCGACTACACCTTGAGGACCATAAGCTCAGTAAAAGATGCTCTTTGGTCTGCCCAAAATTAGTTGGTCCTCCAGAACAAGGAGTTGATCCCAACTGACTGTTGCAGACTGGAACACTCCAAGGTCCAGGACTATGTGCTGTGGGATACACTAAAGCTTGGGGCAGCTGCTGCTAAGGTGCAGTGGAGAAAGACCACCGTCTGAGGTCTTCCTGTTAAAGTTAAATGGGAGTCTGTTTAGATGTAGTTAAACTCCAATGTTTGTTTGTTTTCTTGATATACTGTTGTACAGAACTGAACATCGTTTGCGAGTATGTGCGTGCGCCATATATATAAAAAGATTTTTTACGAATAAAGCATATTTTGAAATTAGAAAAAGAGTTGGAGTCGCCAGTACCTGCCCAGACTTTCATATTGGGAAATCTCATCTTCTAGTTTCTATCCGATGTATGATAAAATAAGAACCATTATATTAATAAGTCAAGATTCAGTGTTAATGAGGGTGATAACAAGCAATAATTTCCATTAATAAGCATTTCTCTACTCTCTAGTGAGAATCTTGTCTCAGTTCCTGGGACTTTGGAAGAAAACATGAGGAAGGCTTCACCAGACTTATCACGCGATTCTCTCAGATTTTGTACCAGAGCCCATGTCATTGAGGTCCCAATAAAATTCCATCCTTTAACTCTTTCTAAAGATGCTGGCAGACCTGCTGAATAGATCCAGCACTTTTTGCTTTTATTTCAGATTTCCAGTATTTTATTTTTCTTCTGGAAAGGTTCTTTCATTCTTTGATTTTCTTTTTAATTAGATGTTATTACAGTCAAGTTATATTTCTATATTAGACCACTGCAGTGAAATTAATGTTTGGGTGTATTGCTTTGTATTTCAAAAGCTACTGTACTGGAACAGCAGGGGCCACAACTTCAAATCGATTGAGAGTCTTGAGGCCTTCAGAAACCTATGTTATAGGGTGATAAAGCAGCATTTCCGATCAATAGCTCTTCCAGGATATCACAAATCTGAATTAAGGATTTCCATACCACGAATCAAACCGATAGATCTTTTATTTAAAAAGCCATCATTCAATTTTCTCATGAGGCTATTCTTTTCTCTTAGAAAATGGGAGGGTGCTTTCAACAAAACATATTTCTCATTAAGATTGTCCACTCACTCGAAGGTTTTTTTCTCTTTAAACATTTATTGTAAATATCCTCCCAATGATTTTTAATCGATCGGGTTCAGCTGCTCAATTGTGGCCACAGTGATGTTACACAGGCAAAATATCAATCTGTTAGTCTGATCAGTAACATGAGATACCATCCAACAATTCCATGGAAACTGGTGTTGGTGCTTTTTCCATGCTTCTGTGAAGAAACTAACAGCCTGATTTATGTGGAGCCATAGGTGTTAAGTCTCTTTCAAGTTTAGGCAACTAACTTTCCAGAGACAGAAAAGCTCAGATATATATCATCAGTGTATTGTGGAAGTTACAACAGGTTCCTTAGACTTTAAGTAAATCTATCAACACTGTCTGAAATTCGCTGAGGCACCTGATGTCAACTTGCATCTAAACAATATACAAAAGCTGCTGGTAACCTCTGTGACATCATCACTCTGATTAATGCATTCATAACCAATCATTTTACCTGAAAATCCACTAGCTTGATAAACTGGTCACAATAGCGTATATAGTCATAACAGCCATTCAAGTTCGTCCTTTCTAATAAAGCAGTATATTTCTTCTTATTATACAGGGGACCACACCTTTTTTCTCATTTTCACGACTATAAACTAAAATGGAAGCTGGATTTCTATACAGCTTAAGTAGTGCAAGAAATCTGCAGCTTGAAAATAAAGTGCTACATATTTTTCATAGTGTTCCAGGCAATGCAGCTTTTTGAAGCACTGGAGAAAGAAATTTGAGGGAAGCAACAACAAATGTCTTTTGAGTTAAGGAAATTCTACCTGATGAAAGCCCTCAGATTGGTTGAATTGCAGAGTATTAAGAAGTTGTAAATGTCTGGGCAGCAGAGAGAGAAAAATATCCAGAGCTGCAGATTGAATGCATTCTTCTCTCCTTTTTCTCCACGTGGACAAAAAGACAGTAAAAGCCAACAAACCTAAAAGCAAGAATTCTAACAAGAAAAGACCTAGATCCAAAGGATCAATTATTGAAATGAAGAATAACCATAGCTTTACAGATGACAGTAAATCAAAAGAAATCAAGAAAAGACTGCGTGAAACAATTTAACCTATGCTTGAAATCTGAACGTTTGATCTTCAGAATTCTCTACATTCTTTTTCCATCCATGGTTCCATTCTTTGTCAACCATTTGTCTATCTTAAATATGAATGAACATATATGTATAAAATGTTTTTGAAGCAATATAGTTCAATTGCAGAGTAATAGATCAAGAACACTTTTTTTTTCTCTGCCTTTTGTTAAAGTTAAGTGTGTTCCAATAAATAGATGGTAGCCATGATGTGGAGGTGGCGGTGTTGGACTGGGGTGGACAAAGTCAGAAGTCACATGACACCAGGTTAGATTCCAACAAGTTTATTTGAAATCACAAGCTTTTGGAGCATAGCCCCTTCGTCAGGTGAAGTCTGACGAAGGGGCCACACTCCAAAAGCTTGTGATTTCAAATAAACCTGTTGGACTATAACTTGGAGTCGTGTGACTTTTGACTTTGGCAATAAATAAAGGTATTTTCTGTTAAAAATGAAATCTGGTTGATTTTTTTTCTTGAATAGCAGTCAGTCAGGCAAATTAGTCACTTTGGTGGTCAAATTATGACTTTATGCATTTTGGATTATGGAGCAGTAAGGCACAATTATCAGCGCACTCCAGTTCATTTACAACAATTAGCCATATTTACAATTGTGATTGTGGTGATACTGTGTGCTGTACAAATGCAATTACTTGAGCACTTCAGTCATTTTCTTTAAGCTCAAAGCCAAATTTACTCCCTCTGGAAAAGGAATGCTCTGCATTCTGCACAATTACGAGTATATTTTCCGGAACTCCGCTCTTCAGTCCTTGGTAGAAACACAGATTAGGTGATTCCATGTGAAGGTGAGCATACCTGACTTGCAGCTTTTGTTTTTAGCAATTGATACCCCACATCAGAAGCAGAGCCTCTGAAAATTACTGGAATTTGCAGTAATGATTTCACTGCGCAATAAAGCTAAATAAATTCTTGCTCCTCTATTACAGGTTACAACACGAAACAAAATGCTGATCTAATGGAAATTCTACAAGTTAAAGCGATGTCTCAATGCAAGATGATGTGATTAGATCTCTGGTAGAATCCTTCCAGTTGTCCATACATGTACAGATAAAATATTATATTTTCTACATTTACCCCTTAAGTGCTGAAGAGGTAGTTATCAAGCAGCATAGCCACTGAGCTCAGATTATCAGATGCAGTGGTACATTACCTCCTTGAACGAATTTATGGAGGGCACAATCAGATGGTCCCACAAGGTGAATCAGACTAGATTGGCTGTATCCTACAGTATATGGCTCTGCAATAGAAGAAAGTAAAAGAAAAATACTTAGTCATTGATACTGAAACAGAAGCACAATCTTTTAACAGTTTGAGCAAAAATAGTTTGAAAAAAAATTGTCAATCAGCAAGGTGACCTCTAATTCATTTTACACCAACAGTGCTATCATATCACAATCTGCCTGTCAATTCATCAATTGAAGACACTCTTCAGTAGAGTTCTATCCTGATGGAGAGAAATGGAATCAAGTGCAACAAATTGCATTTATGTAGCACCTTTAACCTAATGAAATACATTTCACAAGTGTTTAAATGAGACAAAAGTTGGCAAAATTGGAGATATTTCAGGTGCAGGATGGGATAAATAATCCAGCATACTTGTGTTGCTATCAGCTGTACATTGGCACTCTTGTTCCATTTCTTGGCTCTATCCTCAAGTTCTTTATTAAAGGAACAGATTTCAAAAAAGGTATCGCTTAAATTGTGAATTTTTCAGCTTTAGTAGTCAGTGATGGTTGAAACATTCCATGTTTCTTTGGGATAAAAATATTACTTTTAACTATCACTTTGGGCATCCAATACCAATCCTAAATTTGTGCACTTGTTATGAATTTATTGACTGGTGGTATACATTTCCACATTTTTGCCTTCCTGTGTTTCTGTCACCCTTTGTATTGAAACATCAGTGTAAACATAGAATTCCAACTCTCAAACTCCTGTTATTTAGAGGATAATTCTCAATTTTGTCATCTAAAGGGAGAGCTGGTGGAACCGATCAATCTCCCATCTATTATACAACTTGTCTGATTTTTGTCCTATTGAAATGAAGCTTCTGATCAAAATAATGAATCATCCATTCCAAAGGGTAGCAAAGTTGAATATTAAGGCTTTATTGTTGTGCTTCTCTGACATACCCATTTTAAATTCATATCAAAACAAATGGCTAAATGAGTAAATGTACTGACCAGTGAGATATTGAATCAAGAAACCAGAGAGGGACAAGGTTCAATTCTCCATTGGAGCTGTGCTAGTTGACATCTGGCAGTTCTGAGGAAGGGTCACCAGGTCTGAAACGTTAACTCTGATTTTTTTTCACAGATGCTGCCAGACCTGCTGAGCTTTTCCAGCAACTTCTGTTTTTGTTCCTGATTTACAGCTTCCACAGTTCTTTTGGTTTTTATTGTGATATTTTGCTTGGTGGTCAAGGCGCAGGAGTGGTAGCAGAGGCTGTAGAGGGAACTCAGACGGCACTCAATTCAGTTGTTATTGTTAGAAATCCATGACTTGCATGAGGGTGAGGGAAAGAAAATGTGGATACAGCTGGCTGGGCACATTCCTTAACTTACATACATTTATTTTTTGCTTTTGCCCACAACCCATAATTCCAATTAAGAGACAACAAGGTGCAGGGCTGGATGAACACATCAGAAGGGTCTAGGCCCGAAACGTCAGCCTCTCTGCTCCTATGATGCTGCTTGGCCTGCTGTGTTCATCCAGCCCTGCACCTTGTTATCTCGGATTCTCCAGCATCTGCAGTTCCTACTATCCATAATTCCAATTATCCAGCCATCCAGTTCCTGTTAACTTAAATGTTCTTATAAGAGCATATCTAAGGGAAAAAGGAATGTAGCTCACGAACACACAGTTTGAGGAAAAACTGGGTAGAAAATAGATATAATTCCTTCAATTTTGTTTTGATTAATCTTCATTGCCCTTCCTTATCATTTACTATCAATCAGCACCTGTCCTATCTCGTTCTACCACAATACTAGTTGGGAACATACTGAGATTTAAAATGCTAATACTGTTAACTATCAATCTTCTTTATGAGAAAATCAAATTTGAATTTATGTATTAGACTAATGTTTTTTTAATAGGTTTTAAGTGAAATTAAATTATCTCTTACATTATCTGCAATGGCTCTAAACTTCTAGGCCTGGTCCCAAATTAAGTTAGATTCCAGATGGTTAAATGCCAAAATAGAAACAGACAAACTAATTCAGGTTATCATAAGAGAGTATATTCTGCTCCTTGTAGTCAAGAGTGAGGTCATCTACAAATAGCTGATCAAGGCCTGAAATGTTAGAATATTATCTAAAAGGATTTGATATGAAAAGTGAAATACTGAATCCATTCAGAGTGTGTTTATTGTACGATTACAATGATCTTCTTCAGACTTAAGTCTCCCTCACTAGAGTCACAGTCAAATCTAGCAAAAAAAAGCAAAATGCTATAGAAATTCAGCAGGTCTGGAAGCATTTGTCGAGAAAGAAACAGACTTAATGTTTCAAGTTCAATATGACTCTTCCTCAGGACAGAAAATATACTTAAAATCTAGCAATACTTGATGTTGGATGCTACTAAAAAGATTAGCCTGGCTTCATGGGCCACTCATGTTCACTCACGGAGTTCTGTGGGTCTAATACAAGTAAACAAACCATGCACATATTTGTGGATCTGGCAATTCAAAACTGGAGCACTGTGACTGGTGGACTTAGCATTTAAGTCTGCAATGAGAGAGTAGTCCTTTCCATCCTACCAGAGCTATAGATTCAAAACAATTAAGGTGCCTAGCAGAATGAGTGGAGTTTCAGGCAGCAATCTTACAAATATGGACTTTAGTAAGGCCTTTGACAAGGTCCCACATGGCAGGCTAGTCATGAAAGTTAGGTCGCATGGGATCCAGGGAGAGCTAGCTGATTGGATTCAAAATTGGCTCGATGGTAGGAAGCAGAGGTTTAAGGTTGAAGGTTGTTTTTCAGACTAAAGGCCTGTGACTAGTGGTTTGCCACAGGGGCCGGTGCTAGAGCCTTTGTTATTTGTTGTTTACATAAATGATCTGGATGTGAATGTACAAACCACGATTAGTAGTTTGCAAATGATACAAAATTAGGAGGTATCATTGTGAGCGAAGAAGGTAATCAAAAATCACAGAGGGTTCTTGATCAGATCGGGAAGTGGATTGAGGATTGGCAAATGCAATTTAATACAGATAAGTGTGAGGTGTTGCACTTTGGAATGTCAAACTAAGGTAGGACTTATACAGTAAATGGTAAGGTCTTGACGAGTATTGTAAAATAGTGAGACCTAGGAGTACAAGTACATAGTTCGTTGAAAGTGGCGTCACAGGTGGACAGGGTGGTGAAGAAGGCATTTAGCATGCTAGCCTTCATCGGTCGAGGCACTGAGTATAGGAGTTGGGACATTGTGTTGCAGTTGTATAAGTCGTTGGTGAGGCCGCACTTGGAGTATTGTGTATAGTTTTGGTCACCGTGTTATAGGACAGACATAGTTAAACTGGATAGTGTGCAAAGAAAATTTACAAGGATGTTGCCAGGGCTAGTAGGCCTGAGTTATAGGGAGAGGTTAGCCAGGATAGGACTTTATTCCTTGGACTGTAGGAGAAAGAGGGGTGACCTCATTGAGGCGTATAAAATCATGAGGGGTATAGATAAGATGAATTCATATAGTCTTTTTCCCAGGGATAGCGAATTGAAAACTAGAAGGCTTAGGTTTAAGGTAAGAGGGGATAGATTTAAGAAGGACCTGAGGGGCAACTTCTTCACGCAGAGTGGTGCGTATATGGAATGGGCTGTTGGAGAAAGTGGTTGAAGCAGGTACAATAGCAACATTTAAGAAACATTTGGATAGGTACATGAATAAGAAGGGTTAAGGGGGATATGGACCAAATGCAGGCAATTGAAATGAGCTGAGTGGGCACCATTGTCAGCATGGACCAGTTTGGGCCAAAGGGCCTGTTTCCATGATGTATCACTCTATGACTAAATAAAAATTGAAGCTTCACGGACTGACCCTGCATAGGCTGGACAACCAGAGTTCTAGTGTCTGTTCTGCAGTGTAGAACCCTCTGTGCTATTAATGGCTTTTTTTTCCTGTTGTCTGAAATGGTTGGGTCAAAATGGGAATGGCCCATGGACCTTTACTGTGACTGCATTAAGGTGAGGTCAGGTGAGGGGTAAAATGAAAATAAAATGAGCCAACTCTTCCAGGAATATGATCTACAAGCCACTGTGCGTCAAGAGTCGAGAACAATTTAGCACAAAATGCCATCGTGATCAGAGGCCATGAATACATTGTGAATACATTATTCTAATAGAACAAACCACCATCAGCCATATGATACAGAATCTCTTATACAATGAGAAAATACTGCAATTCACAAAGAAATAAAACAAACAAAATGCTTCCAACTACGTAAGCCATAAAAAAAGACAAAGCATTGGGCACAAAGCTTTTGTAAGTGGAAATCCACAATCATCGCTTGCGAATTGCAAATGTCGATTGTTTCATTCTCCACAATAATATCAGGAGATCGTTATTTGACCAGTGGCCTGCCCAAAGTTAATATTAAGTGGAGTCAAGCCCATGTAGCTCTGTGGAGGAACTCATTAGTGTGACAAACCATCCAATATTCTTGGAATCAATCGCAAAGTCATTATTTCTATTTAAAGTATGAATAGTAGTTTAAACTATTGAAGTGTGCCAATGCCTTCCCCTGCCTCCCAGGTATTAATTTCTCTATACTCGGTCCACCGGGACTATACATCACTTGTTCTTCAGGACTATAGACCATTGTGTACAAGAGGGCAAATGGATGGGAAAATTCAATGTTCTGCTAATTGTACTCCTAATCATCAACTAAGAGTGCAGAAGATCCAAGAATGACTCTCCTACTTTGCACTGCCTAACCATTACTTCTTCATCTTAATTGTTTCAATAATGGTGGTGTCTTTCACATTGCCTGGCCCTTCACCTTGGTTTCTTAATAAGAGCTGCTACTGTTCCTATAGGAAAGCCAATGCTCTCCACTACCAGATATCAGCCTAATGGTCAAACATTCCTTGGTGGCTTCCATTACTGCTACAATTCCTGGCATAAATAACACCAATAACACAGTACATCAAAATTCTGAATGCCCTATGTTTTGTAGAGAAAAATAGCACATATTTTTTATGTCATTTCTCATTCAAAATTTGCAGCAGTATTCACCTATAAGAT